AGGTCACCCAAGTAGGAAGTAGCAGAGCCAAGATTTGAACTCAGGTCATTTTGGTTTTGGACACCCTGCTCTTCACCTGTGATGCAGCATCTGACCCATGCAATCCACCTCCTCCCACACACACACGGAAATAACACCAAAGGAAAAACCATCATAATGAGTGTTAGCTTCAGACTTCTTTCCCCTGACTCACAAGTTGTCTCCAGGCGGGATCTACCCATGGAAGTCCTTGTTTTCTGGGGCTCACCTTCTATCCCTGGTGGTAGCTGGGGGAGGGGTGTGTTTGGGGCTTGGGACCATGGGAATAAGCTTTTGGGTAGGAGTCCCTGCAGGCTGGAGGCTCTTGAGACAAGGTTCCAATGGAGGAATACTGGGATTCAATTCAATTCAGTTCAGCTCAATTCAGTTCAATTCAATTCAATTCAGTTCAGCTCAATTCAATCAGTTCAGTTCAGTTCATTCAATCAGTTTAATTCAGTTCAGTTCATTCAATCAGTTCAATTCAGTTCATTCAATCAGTTCAGTTCAGTTCATTCAATCAGTTCAGTTCAGTTCATTCAATCAGTTCAATTCAGTTCATTCAATCAGTTTAATTCAGTTCAATTCATTCAATTCAGTTCAATTCAACTCAGTTTAATTCAGTTCAGTTCATTCCATTCAATTCAGTTTAATTCAATTCAGTTCAGTTCAATTCAATTCAGTTCAGTTCAATTCAGTTCCACTTAATTGAATTTTTTAAATGGTGTGACTTTCCCAAGGCCTTGATGGGAATCACTACTTTCCCCTCAGGCCTCCTGAGCCTTTCCATCTGCCCTGCAGCTGCCCCCTCCTGTCCATGTTATCTCCCCTAATTAGAGTGGGAGCTCCTTGAGAGCAGGGGCTGCCTGACCCTTCCATTTATATCCCCAGAATTTAGGGCAGACCATGTGCCTTAATAATGCCGTTCCACTGCATCTGCTTCAGCCCCCTCCTTTTATGTGGCAGCAAATGAGGTTCAGAAGGGGGAGGTCATTTGCCCAGGGTCACACAGGAAATAAGTGGCCAGGATGTATGTGGGGCTTTCCTCAGTAGGAGCACAAGCATCTAGGTGCATCTCTCATCATCCTAGCCTTGCTTCACCACGCCCTCAGGCCCACACATGACTCAGGTATACACACAGGGGGTTAGGCCTGTTTCTCCTGGTCCCAGGAGATAAATGGGGCAGCAGAGCTGGGTGCCCCAGTAGATACCATTCCTGAAGGGTGGGGGACTTGTCTCAGGTTTACGTAGGCACTGGCCCAATAGAGAAACCTGTGCCTTGGGTTGCCTCTTTGAGCCATATCAAATGACTCATTGGGGAGCATCATTCTCTGACAGTCCTGATTCCTACCCCTCCTGGTCACCCAGCACCAACTTTACATTCAGTCCCCACGAGCTGACGGGGCATCCAGGCCTGAGGTAGGTCTATTTATTCTCTGATTTTCCTCTGATAGCAGAGCAAGAGATCTCCCTAGGTGACAAGACTCTAGGTGAGGAATCCCTGGGCTAGATGCAGGACTCATGACAGACCCCTCATGAGCTTCTCAAGGAATGGCTTGGTGCTTCTGGAGAGCTCAGAGCTGGCCATCTCCTGGCTACTCACTGGGCTTCACTGCCAGGAAGGACCAGCATGGTTCACTGGAATTCTCTGATTATTGCCTGGAAGATGTTCCTGACCTGAAAACCCAAGAAGGTGTTTCAGAATGGAGCCCGTGTTAGCAGAGAGAAGGGCTCCTTTCAGCCCAGTACAGCCCTTCTTTGATGGGCAGGAACTGGGAGCGTGTCTAGCCTCATTCTGCTTGGCCCTGGAGGGCAGAACCAGACCAATCTGGGCTAGTGTCTGGAGACACTTCCTAAAACGAGAGCTGTCCGAAAGCAGAGGGTGCTGCCTCACTGGGATCACTGCGTTAGAGCAGCGAGGGGCCGTGGAGGCCAGTCTGTCCAACCCCTTCATGTTATAGGTAAGGACACTGAGGCCCAGAGAAGTTATGAGATTCTCAGGGTCACACAGGTGGCAGAAGACAGGATTTGAACCCTGGTCCTTTGACTCCAAATCTAGAGCTCTTGCCACTCTACCCATACTGCCACCTAAGGTAGTGAGTTCTCCATCACTGGAGGTCTTCAAGTGGAGCCTGGATAGCCACTTCCTGGGGATGCCTATTCAGGTATGGGGTGGACTCCTGGAGGGGCCTCTTGGGGGAGGTCCCTTTGTACTCAGAGGTTTTGTTATCCGGAAAATGGTGCCTGGGATGTGCTCATCCTAAATGACTGCTTTTGTGGGAGGGAAAACCCAACTCACACCTTTAAAATAATCCTTACTATTATTGTTGCTGCTGTCATTGGCAGTCGGGTTCCTGGTAAGCTTGTCAATGCTGGGTCAAGCTCATTTGGCTCATGTCATGTTCACATGAAGACCAATGGAAAAATTCCTGTGAAAACAAGGGGCTGGACTCGATGGTATCTAAGACTCCTTCCAGCTTTGGATCTATGATCCTAAGGCACTCAACATCCCCTTGCCTCAGTTTCCCCATCTATAAAATGAGGGAGTTGCAATAAATAGCCTCTAAGGCCCCTTCCAGATTTAAATCTATGCTCATATGATCCTAGGTCATGCAACTACCCCAAGCCTCAGTTTCCCCATTTGTAAAATGAAGGAGCTGCACTGGACAACCTCTAAGGTCTCTCTCAGCTCTGGATCTATTCTCCTATTACCTGAAACAATCAACTGGCCAAGGGAGCTGATGGTTTGGAGGAAGGTGGACATAAGGACAAAATCTCCTGAGAGGATGGGCAGAGAAGACTAAGGGGTCTTCTTTGGACAGCCAATGTTGGACTGTCTGGATCCTGAGACTTTAATGTGGGCAGGCGTGACTCAATAATCACCTCACTTCATGGCTCTAGATGAGTAGGAAAGGCTTGGAAATCTCCCCTCCCTTCCGTCTTTCCCCCAAAACCAGACTTCTAAGAGCTTTTTAATTAGCATCAAAGACAAGCTGAGCTGGAAAGGCCCCAAGAGATCACTTAGTCTGACTCCCTTATTTTATAGAGAAGGAAGCTGAACTTGAGAGAGGTTAATTGATCTGGCCAAGGTGGTAATGCGACCAGTTCATGCTCGACTTGGGACAGAATACCAAGGACAGACTTCTTTTTTTCTTCTTTGGATCACTGGAAAAGGCTTTTATTTCACCATAAAAATACAAACTGGAATGAACACCACCTTTTATAACCTAAAGGATGCAACTTTTTTTAAAGTATTCCAGAGCTTCATCTTGAGAAGCAAAAGATTATAAAATTTAACACATTTGCAGCCTTGAATCAATTTGAAACATTGCAAGTAAAAATAATTTAGCAAAACAGTTTCTTAAAAAAAAATGCACACACTAATTTGTACTAGAAACAAAAGATTTTTTTAAAATTTTATTAGTTTATTTTGATTTATCAACAATCACTTCGATATGCTTTTGAGTTGAAAATTTTTCTCCCCCTTCCTCCCCACCACCCTCCCCAAGACGGCGCACAATCTGATATAGGCTATATATTTACATTCCTATTAAACATATTTTCACATTAGTGAAGTTGTAAGTAAAAATTAAAACCAATAGGAGGAACTTTCAGAAAGAGGAAACAAAACTCAACAGAAGAGAAAAAAAATGATAGCGATTCAACTTCCATAGTTCTTTCTTTGGATGTGGGTAGCATTTTCCATCACAAGGCCTCTGGAGATGTCTTAGATCCTTATAATGCTGAGAATGGTTAAAGTTATCAATATTAGTCATTGCACAATGTGGCTGTTATTGTGTACAAAGTTCTCTTGGTTCTGCTCACTTCACTCAGCATCAGACCGTACAAGTCTTTCCAGGTTTTTCTGAAGTCTGCCTGCTCATAATTTTTTATAGCTCAATAGTATTCCATTACATTCATATATCACAACTTGCTCAGCCATTCCCTAATTGATGGACATCCTCTCAATTTCCAATTCTTTGCCACCACAGAAAGAGCTGCTATGAATATTTTTGTACATGTGGGTCCCTTTCCCATTTGTATGATCTCTTTGGGATACAGCCCTACAAGTGCTATTGCTGGGTCAAAGGGTATACACATTTTGATAGCCCTTTGGGCATAGTTCCAAATTGAAACAAAAGATTTTAACTTTTTACTCTCAATTATTTTAATTTGTAAAAAGGCAATGTTTCAGAAGTAATGGAGCATCTCTGGCCCACTTTGTCTCACACTCCACTTATTGGAATCTTTAAAAAAAAAGTATAGTCCATTTGCATTTTCAATTTTAAAGGAATTCTGCCTCCATTTCATATATGGCCTACTATGCCATGACCATTTTGTTCCTACATCTTTTCGCCACCATCTCCATGCTTTTGAATCAGTTAAATACAAATAAAATCAAACTAGTAAGTTCTTTTTTTATTCTTTTTCTATGTCCTACAAGTTTTTGTGGTCATTCAGAACACCTAGCATTTGGCAGCTTATCTCAAGTTCAGTTAGATTTGCCTTTTTTCTGCAGTACGTGTTGACTTCATTGAGAACATTAAAGAATTTTTAGTTGAGAATTTTGCCTACATTTATGCAGCAGGTCTGGAATTCTTAAACTGCCAGTCTATACATTTCTCCTGACTAAAAAAGGAGTGGTGCCATTAAAGAGATCAGATCAAAACATTTGAAAGGAAAAAGGAGAGCTAATGAAAAACAAATTCCCAACGCAGTTGAAACTGAAGGACAAATAATTGTGCAATCTTAACAAAAGAAAATACATTTCCAATGTAATTGTGTTTCCTTTCACAAAGGAGTTCCTTTTATGTTCACCAAGCAGAAACTCAACTTTCTTAAGGTGGTCAAGAAGCCAAAGAAGCTCTTGCTGGTGCTGATATAGCCTATAAATGGGTCTTCAAAAGGCTGTCCTTTACTGCCTGCTCCAGGTACTTATTTTGCTCAGTGATTTGAATCTCACTCAGCGTTGACTGCACTTCCTACCCACACTTCTATCCCAGCTTCCATCCTCTCTACTGCGGCTGTCTCTGCTGTGGGACCTTCGGTACCGACATTATGGGGCTTACGCTAAATCGGTGAGGACTATACTCTTTGTAAGACTGTCTTCTGGGGAGTCACCTTTCTTTTCTCGTCTGTCTTCCTCTTTACTCACATCCCTTCTTATGCTTGTCCACATCCCTTTTATGTCTCTCCTTGGTTCTTCTGTCTCTACTGCCCCGGCTTTTCCCCTTACTTGGTTCTCTATTACGTTTGTCTTGTTCAGAAGATGAATCTTTTTTGGACACATTCTGGTCACGGTCAGATGCACCCTTTTGCTGTTGATTATTGGCAGGAATACAAGAGAGCACACGAGAACAATTTTTTTTCTGTACAACTTTCACTTGTAAGATAGTTAAGATTCTTACTTTCTTTGCATTGACTGAAGTTTCCCCTCACGTTGTTGGAATTAAACTCAATCTCCTGACTGGATAGTATTTCTCTTTGACAGATCTGGGTTGGCTGACCCATGAGGGAATGCAAAGAGGTAGAAGCACCACAGCTCGAAGACACTGACAGCAGGTTGTCACAGGGCAGAAAGGGGTGCCGCTGCTTCTTCCTTGTTCTGCTGTCTCCTCTAAATGTTTAACAGCCTCTCAGTCCTTTCTCTTCCTCTGGAATCCCAGGGCTTGCTCTCTCAGGGTCAGCCTCCTCCAGTCTTTCTGCGCATTCTCCAGTGATTTTGCTGCCTTTGCTCTGCTGAGCCGTTCTGCAACGAGTCTTACTTCTCCGAGCCGTGATTGTGTCTTCTCTGGCCCTTTTTTCTGCTCTTCTGCTTGCATCTTCCTGAGTTCTTTTTGATTTCGGTGGACTTCATGGTCTTGGGTTTCTTTCTCTCTCACGTGGCTTCTCTGCTCGTTTTCTTTCCTCTTCTTTTTGCTTTTCTTCAGCTTTTTTTCTTTTCGTTTCTGCTCTTGAAGTTTCTGCCTTTTAAGTTGCTGGTTTTTTTTAACTGAGGCATCACTAAGGTGTTTAGTTGAGTCAAAAGAAGCCTGCTCTAGCATTTGGCTCTGGCTTTTTAGCAGTTGGAGGCTTGCTCTCCTGTATCCAACCCTTCGCCAGAAATCGGGAGCGGCTCCACCCTCTTAATCCCCCAACAATCCTCCCCTTTTCCCTTCCTTTAGTCACAATTCTTCCCAAGGCCAGATTCCTAAGGGGCAGGGGAATATGATGGAGAGATCACTAGGCTTGAGGTCAGAGGACCTGAGTCAAAATTCATGCTCTCTCGCCTGTGTGACTTTGGGCCAATCCCTTCCCATTTGGGGGCCTCAGTTTCCCCATCTGTAAAATAAGTATTGGGCTCTTTCCCCTCTGAGGCCCCTTCTAGGTCTGATGTTCTAAATGCTCAAAGTTGTCAAGAATCATCTATTGAAATGCCATCAGGGGACATGGTGGCATTTTAAGCCTTGTAAGACAATCAGACTTTAAATTACAGCACAGCCTCTCGACTTCTTAGTGAGATCACCTCAGGTCATGGGTTTAGAGCCGCTGGAAGGGATCTCAGGGATCTCAGAGGCCATGTAGTCCAACTGCCTCCTTTTGAAAAGAAGGAAACTCAGTGCACATGTACACAATCCCTAACTCCCATGGCTCCCTATTACCTCCAGTATCAAATACAAATGCCCCTGTCCGGCTAGCATTTTAAGCCCTTCACAGCCCTGCCCTTTTCTGCCTATCCAGTCTTCCTACCCTTTACTGTCCTCCATGAACTCTGTGATTGAGCAAGACAGAGCTACTTGCCGTTCTCCACCAAGTAAGCCATCTCTGGATTCCACATTTTTGCACTGGCTGTTCCTATGCCTGGAATGCCCTCACTGCCACCTCCTGGCTTCCTTTCAGACTCAGCTCAAGTCCTGCTTCCTGAAAGCCAGTCTTCTTCAGCCCCCACCACCACCCCCACCCCCACCCCACCCTTCCTGTCTCACATTGCTTTCACTGTACTCCGAGTACTGTGCAGCTACTGGAATGTCATCTGTTCAAGTCCCATCTCCAACACCTGCCAGTTGGGTGGCCATAAACAAGACACTCGATGACTCCCCAAGGCCAAAGGTCATAGAGGAACTGCCCATCTACAAAGGAAGGGTGTGTGATCTTGTCCTCGCCTACACCAAAGAAAGCCTCTGCCTGCTCTCCACGCTGTGAACAGCAGCCCTTCCTGCTGCAGCGGCTGCACCTGGAGAGGCCAGGGATGGGAGTCTAGTCCTCTCCTTGGGTCCACGCCCTGGGCCCTCAGGGGCTCCCATGTTATTTGTTGGCTGGTATGTCTAGAGCCTCAGGCTTGTGATTGACACAGGACCTGGCAGGTGGGCATCAGAGAGCTCCTGAAGACACCCCCAGCCCGCCTTCCCTTGGCGTGGAGACTGTCCCACCTGGGAGGGTCACCCGGGGAATTCTAGAGGAGCTTCTTCTAATATCCCAGAAAGGAAGGAAGCCAGTGAGAAGAGGCGGAGCTCTGTTCCATGCAGTGATCCGATTGTCAGCTCCATGAGGACAGGGACTGCTTTGGGCTTTCTTTGTATCAGCAAAGTGTTCATTAAGCTCTTACTGTTCTAGGGTACAAAGAAAGTCCCTGTCTTCTGGAGCTGACAATCAGATGATTGAATCGGATGGCTTACTTGTTGATTGACATCAACATTTAAGTAGCTTCTAAGAGCCAGGCACTAGCTGGGGACACAAGCCAAACACAAAATAAGGCCATTTAACCCCAGGTATAGAGCTGGAAGGGAACTTGGAGCATTCCCACCCCCTCATTTTACAGATGGGGAAACTGAGGTCCAGAGAAGTCATAGTCTTGGCCCTCAAGAAGCTTATTTTTTACTAGAGGAAAACAGGTACACAGATAAGTAAATACAAAAGAAAGGAAATAAAGAAGGGAGGAAGGGAGGGAGGGAAGAGAGAAGGAAGCAAGGAAAATGTAGATGGATATAGATTTTTTTAACTTGACCTGTGATTGTCTTCATACAGGCACCTCCCAGTGGGAGAGCTCCTTCTCCCAACGTAGATGATCCTTACTCTAAAACTTCCTGTATGAGACACTTCAAGGTGAAGTGACTTGCTCAGGGTCACACAGCCAGGATATGTCAGAAGTGGACCTTGAACCTGGGTCTTCCTGACCATGAGACCAGCTCTCTATCAGGCCAAATTCACATAAATCAAATACAAAGCAATTTTGGTGGGGCAGTGCAGGCAGGCACTGGCCCCTGTAGAGGTCAGGGATGGCCTTGTGTAGGTGGTAACACTGGCAGAGGCCTTGGAGGGTAGAAGGGGAGGAGGGGGTATATTCTAGACAGGTGGGGGGTGAGGGGAGAGGAGGTCAGGATGCAGTGCTGTAGAAAGGAGTCCAGTTTGGCTCAGCAGGAGAGTTCATGAAAGCCATACGAGGTCAGCCTAGAAAGGGAGGCTAGACCCAGATTTTGGGGGAAGGCTTTAAATGCCCCCCAGAAGGAGAAGAAGCCCCCTGCACTGTCCCTCCCTGGGCCTCCTCTCTTACCTCTTGCCCCAGCCTCTCCCTCTGCTCTCTCCAGACCCATGGCTCCGTCTCTGGTGCTGAAGAAGGAAGGTCTGTTCCAGACGAAATCCCAGGCTTACAGGATCCCGGCCCTGCTCTACCTGGCCCAGCACCACATCTTCTTGGCATTTGCCGAGCAGAGGGCCAGCAAGGCTGATAAGCAGGCCAAGCGCATTGTACTGCGCAGAGGGAAATACAAGGCATCAGCCCACCGGGTGCAGGTAAGGGTGGCTGGGCTTGGGTGAGCAGGAGTCAATGAGCGAATCCCAGGGTTGGCAATGGGGATCACTGACATTTCTCATCCTGTATGAGGCTTGGGGTGGGCCCTGCAGATACCAAGAAACCAGGGTGACTGCTAGGAAGCTGGCAATTCAGAGAAGGGAGAGGGTTTCCCCAAGGTCACCCGGCGTAGGCTCCACATATAATGACATGTGCTTGTTAGCCTGTCTCTACTAACAGAATACAAGCTCACGGAGGGCAGGGACCCATTCCTTTTTGTCTCTGTATCACCACTGTCTGGCACGTGGTGGGCTTTTAAAAATGCCTGTTTTAAAGGGCCAGTAGATTGTAAGCTCCTGAGGGCAGGCACTGTTCCCTTTTCATCTGTTTCTGCAGTCCAGAGTATAGTGTATAGCAGATGAACGCTTCTTGGTTGACTGAAATGTCAAAGGGGAGGTTCAAACCAGACCCAGGAGGCAATGCCGCCCTCAGTCTTAAGAAAGGCATCCTGGGCAGGCCCGGGAAGTCCCACTCACCTCTGCTCTGGCCAGACGCATGAGAAGGCAGGTGTTCAGTCTGGGGAGGCACAGTGCGTCATGAAGAGAGAACCACCACCTGGAGTCTATGTCATAAGAAGTTAAAGGCCCCGGAGAAGATTCAGGGGAAATGAAGGCTGTGTCTAAACACCTGAAGGCCTGCCATTGAGGAGTAGTTTGTGGTCTGTATATATTTTTACACATATTTGCACGCATTTGGTAAAAATAGTAAGAACAAAAAAATAGCGAGGCCCGCATTGATGTAATGCTTCAAAGATTAAAAAGTGCATAGCATCTGCTCTCATTTGGTGTTCACAACCCTGGGAGGTAGGTGCTTTTATTATCTCCATTTTATTTTATTGTATTTTTGGTGAGGCAATTGGGGTTAAATGACTTGCCCAGAGTCACACAGCTAGTGAGTGTTATGTGTCTCAGACCGGATTTGGACTCAGGTCCTCCTGACTGTAGGGCCGGTGCTCTATCCACTGAACCACCTAGCTGCTCCATTTTAAAGATGAGGAAACTGAGGCTAATAGGGGTTAAGTGATTTTCCCCCAGGTCATACAACAGAGTGCCGGAGACACTCAGGTCTTCGTATGTTCAGGCTCAGTCTACTGCACCCCCTAGATGCCTAGATAGGGTCTACAAGTATTATTATTCCCATTTTGTGGATGGGAAAACTGAGACTCAGAAAGGAAGAAAAGAGAGTTGCTCAGGGTCACAAGCAGGAGTCAAACCTAGCTCTCTCCTGATTCCCGGTCCAGCTTTCTTTCCACTGCCCTCTCTGTGCTATATGGAGGAAGGATTGACCTTTTTTCTGCTCGAACCCAGAGGAGAGAGAAATGGGTAGATGGGTAAAACAGTTTGATGTCTTGTCTTCTTGCCCTTTTCGACAGTGGCAAGAGATGAAAGTGGTGAAGACAGCTCAGCTGCCAGGCCACCGGTCCATGAACCCCTGCCCTGTGTATGATGAAGTCACGGGCACCCTGTTCCTGCTGTTCATAACCATCCAGGGCCAGGTTACTGAATACCACCAGATCCACACCAAGACCAACGTGGTGCGTCTGTGCTACGTGACCAGCAAGGACCAGGGGGAGACCTGGAGCCGTGCCAAGGACCTCACCAATTCTACCATTGGGGCGGTCCACAAGCAGTGGGCCACCTTTGCCATTGGGCCGGGCCACGGCGTGCAGCTACACAACCAGTCTCGGAGCCTGGTGATCCCCGCCTATGCTTATCGGATCCTCGGGCCTCAGAAGCCCACGCCCTATGCCTTCTGCTTTCTCAGTGATGACCATGGAAAGACATGGCAGATGGGAAACTTCATAGCCATGGGGAACACCTTGGAGTCCCAGGTGGTGGAGGTGGATGGCCATGGCCAGAGAGTCCTGTACTGTAACTCCAGAAGCACCCTCGGGGCAAGAGTCCAGGCCGTCAGCCTGGATGACGGAGTACACTTCACAGGTGCTCAATGGATCAAGAAACTGGTTGAACAACCACTGGGCTGCCACGGAAGTGTGGTTGGCTTCCCGAATCCCACCAAAAATGTCTCGAGCCCTGTGGATACCTGGCTGCTTTACTCCCATCCCACAGACCCACTGAAGCGGAAGGATATGGGCTTGTATCTTAATAGGGATCCCTTGGACCCAGAAGGCTGGACCAAGCCGGCCATCCTGATGAAAGGCTCCTGTGCTTACTCAGACCTCCAGTACATGGGGCCAGGCCCCAATGGGTCACCCCAGTTTGGCTGCTTGTTTGAATATGGAAATTATGATCAAATACTTTTTGTCATGTTCACCCTGGAGCAAGCTTTCCCCTCCTGACTCCTCCTGCTGTTCAAGATTTGGTTCTACTGCTCCGATTCCTTTCTTTTCCTCTTGGAGTGATGGCCCCAAGATGCATCACTGTCCTTTCTCTCTGGGGCCCTCAGGATTCGTGAGTCCTCAATGTTAATCTTTGGCTTCGTCCATTAAAAGCACATGGTAATAAGGCATGGTCTGGTGGATTTCTTTTCTTACGTTTTCTTAGCACTTACAATAGGATTCCCCACTTCCAGCCCTAAATGGTCAAAAGAAGCTTGTTAGAGGCAGGCCTCAAAGTTTTCTATGGCATATTCACGGTGCTGGAGTAAGGCAGGATACTTAGGCTGGGGGCCCATTTCCATGTCATCACACGTGGCTTGGTCTGCCCTGTTTGTGTGGTTCCCAATGAATTACCTTTGCTCTGTAATTGGAACAGAATAGGATCGAGGTCACAATAATAGGGATAAATGGAAATTCCTATGCTTGGGCTCAAAAAAGCTGGCACAAGAACTGAGGAGACATGGAAAGTCAGCAGTGTGTCTGAAAATGATCTGGGGGGCTTAGTGGACTGCAAGCTCAGCATAAACCAAGGTTATGAAAAGGTAAGCAAGAAAGTTCCCTTGGTCTCAGGCCTTAGTATGAAAGTCAGAGAGTCTAGAAGAAGGGAGATCACAGTCCCACTGTATTATACCCTAGGAAGATCACATTGGGAGTATTTGTTCAATCTTGGGGGACACATTTTTTGGAAAGACATTGAATAGCTCCTGTAGAGGAGGCAACCAGAATCATGAAAGGACTAGAGACCACGCCACATGTGGATCAGGTGAAGGGGCTGAGGATTGTCAGCCTGGGGAAGAGGAGCCCAAGAGGTGTCAGGGTAGAGGTCTTCCAGCGTGGGACGGTTTGCCATGGGGTCAGTCCAGGAATGGTGGCCACAAGAGGCAGAGACAGATTTAAGCTTCTTAACATTCTAACAATGACAAGTGCTCAGGGGTAGAATGGACTGCCTCCGGAGGGGAGGGGCCTGAAGGTATCCTTCAGGGAGAGGCTGGGTGGCCTTTGCCGGGAATGCTGTCAAGGAGGTGGCTCAGTCAAATACAAGTGGACTAAGTGACCTCTGGGATCCCTTCCACCTCTGAAATCGTATGATCTTGGATGGTAGGTGGCCAAGGCTGTAATGGATGGAGACGCCTGACTGCGGTTACCCCTAGCCTTCAGGGCTGTCAGTGGGAGGCTCGAGAAACTTCTGTGGCTCCCATGTCCTTGTCCCCATTTCTTTGTGCTCCCCCCAGACCTTGCAGTCAGTCCAACCATACAGTTCTCATTTTACTAGATTAATAATAGCTAAGATAGAGATAAATGGTGTTTTAAGGTTTAAAAAAACCAACAACATAAAACGCATATTCTCATCTATCAGGTGCATCTTGCCATTTACCCTGCTGTGGCTCCTCTGCCCAGCCAGAATAGTACCCCCCAGACCAGACCACCAGAGACCACGTACTTTCCTCCCTGGAGGAGTTAATACCCTCAGCTTTAGCACACCGGCCTACAGCCAAGCTCTCCTGATTAGTGAATGAGTGAAGGCAAACTTCTAATACCTAATCAAAATCAGAGATTTCATCAGTGAGAGGCACTTCTGGTGTGAAAAGTCTCTCCATCCATGCCAAGACAATGGCCAGCATGGCTTGTTTGGCCAATGAGTGAGTACAAACTAACCCCAAGGACATTATTTAGCTGACTGCTTCCCATCCACTCCCCGGGGACATCATGCCATCTGCTCTTCTGCTGAATCAACCCTTGCCTCCCACTCCTTTCCTCTGGCATCAGGAACCATAGCAGTTCTAATGCTGTTCTGTCGCAATCCCTGTGACTTCCCAGACCCTTCCCTGACCTCGCCCTATTACAAAGGAAGCTCCATGAGGGCAGGGGCTGTCTCATGCTTGTCTACTTGTATCTCCAGCAACTAGCAGTGTGTCTGACCCACAGGAAGCATGAGGCCAGCCCTGTGTGCTGATAGCTACCTTTTCTATAGTGTTTTAAGATTCATAAAGTATCTCATGTGAGTCTCACAATACTCTTAGCTTGGGCTAAGTGATCAGATGATCACTTTGCAGATAGAGAAAGTAAGGTTCATTAAGTTAATTAACCTCAGAGAGGTTACATCATTACATAGCTAGTCAGTATCAGAAGTGGGATTTGAACTCTGGTCTCTCTAAAGCTTTCTCCAATAGATCAGCTGCTTCTATTAGAAGAGTGGGCAGTGTCAGCATGGTGTGATAGCAGGAACACTCGGGGCACCCATCTGGCACCCATCTCCTCCCTTTGCCTTGTTTCACTGCCATCTATCTATTTCTCCTGCTTGGCCTGACATCTCCACTATTCTAGGCGCTTCCTCGCCTTACTGAAGATTCAGGAGTGTGATGGGGCGGGGGAGGGGGGCCTTGGACATCCAGTGGCTCTGGGTATGCAGCTGTCACTGAGCCTGGCCCTGGGGAGAGGGGTGTAGGGAGGGTGGCAGTGGACATTTGAAATCACAGGCTTTGAACTGGACAGGACCTCTGATGATGCTGCTCTTCAGCTCTCTCCCAGCAGCACCAGCAACCTCTTCTGGTCAATGCCAATCATTGATGATCATAGAGACAACCTGTCTGGCCAAGGACTCCAGAGAAGATGAGGCTTTTCCTTCCCTCGAGCTTGTATTTACCTTAGGACAGGCCAGGTTCAATGAGAGAGGAGAAAAAACACAGGGTGCAGCTCCAGGTAGTGACGAGCTGCAGGAGGTTAGGGAGAGTAGAATCAGGGCAGTGGGGTGCTCAGGCCAGGTGCCTCACGGGGGTCCCTTTGTGCTGGAGGACCAGGGACACACAGAAGGAGGGTAAGACACCAAAGCAAGAAAGAACACTTTCTGCCCACTTTGTCACTCTGGTCAGGGATGGCCCTGCCAAAACACAGCTTTTCATAATAACAGCTGAAGTTTATGTAGCACTTAAGGTATACAAAATATTTTCCTAGCATTCATTTAAAAAAAAAATCTACACTTGACAAATGTCCCTCAAAAAGAGAGAGCATTCCCAAATGTAGAACAAAAAAGAAGGGCTGGTATCTCCCTTTATGTGTAAAGCATGTATCCATTTTGACTTTATCTTGATATACAGTATGAGATGTTGGTCTACACCTAGTTTCTGCCAGACTATTTTCTGGTTTTCCTAGTAGTTTTTGTCAAATAATGAGTTTTTGTTCCAAAAGCTTAGATCTTTGGGTTTATTATACAGTAGATTGCTATGGTCATTTACCGTAATGTAATTTGTCCCTCATTTATTCCACTGATCCACCACTCTATTTCTTAGCCAGTACCAGATTATTTTGATAATTACAGCTTTATAATACAGTCTGAGATCTGGTATAGCTGGACCACCTTCCTTCACATTTTTTTTCATTGATTCCCTTGATCTCCTTGACCCTTTTGTTCTTCCAGATAAATTTTGCTATTATTTTTTCTAGCTGTATGAAATAACTTTTGGTAGTTTGATTGCTATGGCACTGAGTAAATAGATTAATTTAGATAGAATTGTCATTTTTATTATATTGGCTCAGCCTAGTCATGAGCAATTAATATTTTTCCATTTGTTTAGATCTGACTTTATTTGTGTGAAAAGCATTTTGTAATTGTGTTCATATAGTTCCTAGGTTTGTCTTGTCAGGTAGACTCCCAAGTATTTTATATTGTGTACAGTATTTTTAAACGGGATTTCTCTTTCTACCTCTTGCTGCTGGACTTTGTTGGTAATATGTAGAAATGCCAATGATTTATGTCGGTTTATTTTGTATCCTGCAACTTTCTAAAGTTGTTAATTACTTCAAGTAGTATTTTAGTTGATTCTCTAGGATTTTCTAAGAATAACATCATATCATTTTCAAAGAGTGATAATTTTGTTTCCTCATTGCCTATTCTAATTCCTTTGGTTTCTTTTCTTCTCTTATTGCTAAAGCTAACATTTCTAATTCAATATTGAATAATAGCTGTAATAATGGGCATCCTTGCTTCACCTCTGATTGTTTTGGGAAGGCTTCTAGCTTATCCCCATTACAGGTAACTCTTACTAATGGTTTTAGATAAGTATTACTTATCATTTTAAGATAAGCTCCATTCATTCCTATGCTCCCTAGTGTTTTTAATAGGAATGGGTGCTGTATTTTGTCAAAGGCTTTTTCTGCGTCTATTGAGACAATCATATGATTGCTGTTGGTTTTGGTATTGATATGGTCAATTATGCCAATAGTTTTCCTAATATTGAACTAGTCCTGCATTCCTGGTATAAATCCCACCTGGTTACAGTGTGTAATCTTTGTAGTATGCTGCTGTAATCTCCTTACTAGTAGTTTATTTAAAATCTTTGCCTCAATATTCATTAGGGAAATTGGTCTATCTTCAGGAGCATTCTTCCTTGAGAGTGAGACTGGCCCATGTTCTCAGACAAGAACCTGAATAACCCACTGCAGGGGCAATTCTTATGAGATCCTCTTGAGCCGGATGATCTTTGTAAAGGACACACGTTACCACAGCCTTGAGATACAGCCTGGCATGGAAGATAGAGAGTCTGATTGGGAATCAGGAAGACTTGAATTCAAATTCTGCCTTCGACCCTTGTGAGCTGTGTGGTCTTAGACAAGTTATGTGACCTCTCTGAGCCTCACTTTCCTCATGTATGAAAAGAGGGGTTGGCTCAGATGGCCTCAGAGATCCCTTCCAACTCTGACGTGATGATTCTATGATCCTCTGGCCACTCAAAGACAAGTATGTACTTAACACATTTAATAATAATGGGAGCTATCAGTATCGTCATCATTGTCATCATCATCGACTGAATCCCTGATTTCTTTGGCATATCCTCATTGTTGTTACTGTCCTGTGACCTGTAACAATCCTGAATGCAGCTGAACCAGACTAAGATGTATGGAGGAAATGTTTAACAAAACAAATGAAAATACAATGGAACATATATAATATTATATTTCAAAACTAAGTCAATATGCAGCCCACAGGAATCTTTGTTTGACACTGGTATATGTGCAGAATGTATTAGACGAATTCTTGTGTTCCCTGTGGTGTCCCATCCATCCACTAGGAGGTGAGCAGGACTCACCTCGTCCTGCCCCAGAGAGCGATAGGA